GCCTGGCCCGCGACCCTGGGGAGCGCAGGTCGGCCGTCCAGGGGCCGGGGTGGCGGGTACGGCGTGCGGTCTGGGGGGCTCCAGTGCGGAGGGAAGCCTCCGTGTACGGTCCCCGGAGGAGCAGGCCTAGGCCTCGGGTTCCGCCGCGGCTGCAAAGGGAGAAAGTGATTCCTCTATCCTAGACTGCAAGCACTTACCGGGTGGTTCCAGTTTGCGTGGTTTGTGGTAGCGCTGAGTTTAGTTTCTTCTTTTGTGCGAAGTCAAGGCGTCTCTGTTTGTTTGTTGCCTCGGTTAGCCTGAAGTCGCTAAGTGGACCAGGTTGGCCTCGAACTCACAAAGACCTGCCTACCTCTGATTCTCTAGTGTTAGGATTTAAAGCGTGCACCACCACGCTCGGACTAGTTTCTTACCCTAAAACTGAAGGTCAGAAAGGTTGATTTGCTAAGAAATTAGTGCAGCACCTGGAGATGAACTCGAAAGAACTTGTATCACCTCGTTCAGAGTTCTGTTTGTCTCTGTTTTTAGGAATTTCTTTGATTACTGAGAGAAAGGTGGGGTATGAATGTTATCTTTCCACCTTAATATGAACAAGCTACGTAAGTCTATATTCTAAAATATAAGAATTAAACTGCTGGGGAAAGGGGTGCATGGCAGAGGTAGGAGGATCTCTGTGACTGCAAGGCCAGTCTGGTTTGCAGAGCTAGTTCCAGGACAGCTAAACAGAAACTATGTCTCACAACATAGTCCCAAAACATAATAATAGTAATAAGCTTTGAAGAAATGCCTAAAGTCGAAATTGGATTATTTGGTTTTGATTTTTTTTTTGGAGCAGGGTTTCAATATGTAACCTTCGCTGTTTTGGAACATGTAGATCAGCCTGGCATTGGCTTCAAACTCCTGTCTCTGCTTCCTGAGTGCTGGGATTAAAGGCATGTGCCACCATCCTGGGCAGATACTAGCAAGATTCTTAGCTGAATTTCAACACAAGGAAGTTAGGTATGCTTTTTACATTTTTAACTATGAGCAATGTGAAATTCATTTTGTTGTTTTAGTTTTTCGAGACAGGGTTTTTCTGTATCTTTGGAGCCTGTCCTGGAACTAGCTCTAGACTAGACTGGCCTCGAACTCCCAAGTGCTGGGATTAAAGGCGTGCACTACCACTTCCCGCATGAAATGCATTTTTAGATATTCATTTTATTTTATTTGGTAAACTAGCATAAAATTTCATGTAGCTTTCAAGCAATATTTTCTTTTTATGAGATAAAAGGGTTGGGAATGGTGGCACACCATTGGTAGCTCAGGAGGTTGAGACCAGAGATCAGCATGGGCTACATTGTGAGCTGAAAGAGTGCATCTTGGAAACCTTTATCTTCAAAACAAAAAATGAGGTACAAGATATTTATAAGGCTTTTAGGGAAACAGTCTTCTTCTTTTTTTTTTTTTTAAATGCTAGCTATAATATAAGTAGTTCATAGGTACAGACTTTAAAGTCATAGGATTGACAGGATGGCCTAACCTGTGTGAAGGCTCTTGCTTTCATGACTATAGTTTGATTTCTGGGCGTGGATGTGCTCATACATGTACACACCCACCAAAACCCAAAGCAACCTCAATATACAGTGTTTTGCTAAGATCATTGCATTAAAACTAATTTTAGAAATTATTTGTTCATGTTTAGTGTGAAGGTCAACATTTGTAGCGGGAGCTGCTACCCGGCTCCCGCACGGCTAGCTTAGCCTCGGAAATAACAACACACAAATTGTATTCATTAAACACTGCCTGGCCCATTATCTGTAGAGAGTTAGTTAATGGCTAACTCTCACATCTTGATTAACCCTTTTCTCATAATCTGTGTAGCACTACGAGGTGGTGGCTTACCGGGAAAGTTTCAGCATATCTGACCTGGTGGCTGGCTCCATGGCGTCTGCCTCATTGCCCTCTTCCCATTATTCTGTTCTCTTTACTCTGCCTACCTAATTTTCTGTCCTATCAGAGGGCCAAGGCAGTCTCTTTATTAACCAATGAAAATAACACATAACAGAAGGCCCACCTACATCGAACATTAGGTTTCTTTTCCTTTTTGTTTTTCGAGATAGGGTTTCTCTTTTTAGTCCCACCTGTCCTGGAACTGTAGACCAGACTGACCTGGAACTTGGAGATCCACCTGCCTCTGCCTCCACTACCTGACTGGGTGTCTTTTCTGTTGTTTTCAACTTTACTTTAAGATTTGGTTTTTTCTATATATGTATGAGTGTTTTGTCTTCATGTATGTCTGTCTACCATATGCGTGTAGTGCCCATGGAGGCCAGGAGAGGGTCTTAGATCGCATGGGCTTGGGTTACGGAAAGTTGTAAGCAGCCATGTGGATGCAGGGACTCAATCCTGGTCCTTAGAAGAGCAGTAAGCTCTTTTAATTTCAAAAAATTTTTAATTTCAAAAAGCCAGTTAGTCGATTGTTTCTTGTTTCAATAGATACCCGTTTGTTGGGAGCGATGTGTGCGATGTACACATACACGGTTTGATAAACCAGAAGATGGAAGGCTGATTTATACTGGGAACCTGGCCCGCACAGTATTTGGTACGTATTTCTCCCTTCCCTTTTTCTGCCATCAAACCCTCTCGTATATTTCTTCTCACTCTCTTTCAATTTCATGGCCTCTTCTCTTCACTAATTGTTATCGCACGCATATATGTATATAGATATATATTCCTAACTATAACCTGTTGAGTCTGTGCAGCGTTACTTGTTTCTGTTTTCAGGGCTGATGGTCTTGCACTGGAAAACCAGTCAGTGTGCTCTTCCACCTCTCTCACACCCAGCTTTACTCAGTTGCCTAGAGTTCTTGTGTGGGGTTGAGGCCTTCTGGGCTTGTCCTACATAATAAACCTTTTTAGCATATGTTACCTATGTTCTTAGCATCACTGAATTATTATAACACGTAAGGAAAATTGTTTTTCCTTTGAAGCCCATTGAGACAGCGTCGAGGTTGATACTTTCCTTTTTAGGAGTTTTAAAGATGTTTAAAGATTGAATTGTGGTTTTGCGATCTACAGAAGGCATTGATGCTTTCCTTAAGTCACCTATCTTAGAATATGCAACAGAAAAGTAAAACTATTTGAGTAGACTAAAAAAAGTGAAAGAATATTGTCATTGTTTGACTTAAGTATCCCTCACAAGCTCATGCATTTAATAGTCTCACTTCCCCAGCTGGTAGCACTGTTTTGAGAGTTCTGATACTTCAGGAGAGTTGTCTTCCTCTAGAAGTAAGTCACTGGGTGTGGGTTCTTGAAGAGAGGATCTTATTCCTGACTCTTTCTTGTCCTTTCTCTGCTTCCAATTTGTCATGAAGGCCTTCCACTATCTAATAATACACTTGTAGGCATGATGTTGCCCAAGTACATGGGTCTAAGTAACTGTGGGCTGAAATCTCAGAAATTAGGAGTCATAGTTACTTTTCCTTTTTAAATTCTTTTTTATTTTGTGTGCAGTGGTGTTTTGCCTGTATGCATGTCTGTATGAGGGTATTAGGACCCCGGAACAAGATTTACAGACAGTTGTTAGTTGTCAGGTGGTTGCTGACAATTGAACCCTCTGGAAGAGCAGTCAGTTATCTTAACCACTGAGCCCTCTCTTCAGCCCCCACCTTTTCCTTTTTTTAAGTTGCTTTTCTCCAGTATTTGGTCACAATACAAAAACTGTGACTAAAAGCCTGGTAGCACCTCTTTTTTTGTTGTTTTATCAGACAGGATCTCTCTTTCAGAGGTTCATCTTTCAGAATGGTTGCTTTGAAACTGGATGTTGTGATGCACGCCTTTAATCCCAGCACTTGGGAGGCAGAGGCAGGTGCATCTCTGTGAGTTCTAATGCAGCCTGATCTGCAGAGTGTGTTCCAGGGCATCAAGGACTACACAGATCGATCCTGTCTTGAGAAACAAAAGCAAAACAAAAAAAGTACAATTGTAGGTTGTAGAGGAAAGTTATTGCCAGAGCCTTTCAGTGCTATGGATAGTAGAAAGTCGCTGTGTCAGAGGTCAGTGCTGCTTTCTATATGGGAATGCAGGGAGAAACACTGAGATAGTGCTGTCATTCTGGAACTTCCTAACTGCCACATGGGTAGCCTCTAGAAGGCTCTTCTTTAGTTATTGTTAATTCAGCCCCAGATACCATACTGGCTGTGTCTTAGGGATAAAACTTAAAGGTAATGCAGACTCTTACAGCCAGTAGGAAAGAAAAGTGAATATGCCATACAATCAACCATAGTTGCAATGTTATGATTAGGTATGAGTTCAGGCTGTGGAGAGAAAGAACAGAGTGGTTGCCTCAAGATGACTTCCCCTTAGGTCTTGTCTGATGAGTGCAGTCTGTGAAGATGTGAAAGGAGCACATACTTTGCAGTGCAGAAGTCCTCAGTACAAGCAGAGGCAGAAAGGTTGCCTTGGTTTGGACTGATCAGCAACTTGAAGGGATCTAGATTTAATGGAGAGATTGCCTACATTAGTGTAGTGGAGCTGGAACGATCCACCTTCGATGTGGGTTTGCCATTCCACATGTGGGACCCTAGGCTGAGTAAAGAGGAGAAAGCTCTCTCATGACTGGATGCAGTGTACCTGGACGCATCAAGTTCCTGCTGCCATGCCTTCTTATCTAATAGTTTCTTTTTTTAAACATGGAAACAATAGAAGTAAATGTATTTTCTTACAGTTCTGGAGGCTAAAGCTGTAAAAGTGGGGTATGCACTGGGCCATGCCCTGGTGACGGCTCAAGGAAGTCTTACCCCATCCATTCTGGTAGTCCTTAGCGTTCTTGGCTTGGAACTTGCCCCTCCCCGTGACTGCTGCTTACTGTTCCTATGGCAGCCTCCCTGAATCTCCTATTTTTTCTGCCCTTATAAGGGCACCTCATTAGATTTAGAGCCCACCTTAATCCAGCATGATCTCATCTTGTTCTTTAGATCTGCAAAGATCTTATTTCCAAATAAGGACACATTATGAAGTTCTAGTTAGGCATCAGTTTTACTACAGTGTAACAAAAGTAATAGGGAGAAAAGATACTTCAGAGGGTGGAGGAGGTACATAGGAGGCACCAAGGTCCTCATTTATCCTGTGCATACTGATGTCATAGCAACCACCTGTGGGAAGAGAAAAGGAACTATTTTTAAATTACTGACAATATAATTAAGCTTTCAGCCAATAGCACTATATGAGTGACTGCTTAGTTCCAGCTTTATGAATAATTGTCAGACTTTGCTTTTGTCAATTTGGGGCAAAACAGTAACATTAATTTTAACTACATGTATCTTATGAATGAGATTTTTGTACCAATTTATTTAAATTTATTTAAAGGGCCATTTATGTATTTGCCCTTAAAGTATCAAGCTTTTCGGTTTTCTTATTCCAAAAACATTTTATATATTGGGGATACTAATCCTTCTGATATAAATTCAGAATATTTTTGCATTGGACAGGATGTAGCTCAGAGTGACTTCCAACTTGATAGGTAAAGTTGGCTAGCCTTGAACTGATTTCTTTTTACCTCAAATGTTGAGTTACTGGTGTGTGTGGCTACGTTGTTTTCCTTTTCTTTATTTTTTTAAAAAAAAAATGTAGTCAAATTGTCAGTCTTTTGACCCTGGCTGTTTCTGGAACTTAAAAAAAAGAGAGAGAGAGAGATTTTAATTACTTTTTAAACATGTGTTTGTGAATGTGTCTCTATGGGAGCATACCATGCGTAAAAATGTCCTCAGAGACTGGAGATGTTGGATCCATCGGGTTGGGGTTTCAGGCATTGGGAGCCACTGGAAGTGGGTGCTGGGAACTGAACTTTGAAAGAACAGTACTGGCTCTTTACATGTTTGTGCCTTCATGTCCAGCTCTGTCCATTCCAGATTATAAAGGACTTCATGGATACCTTTATGATTTTTTTTTTACTCACATTTAAATCTCTGAACTTTTTGGATTTTTCATGGTTTATGGTATAATGGGTGGATTGAATTTTATTATTTTCTTTTTAAATTTGTTTGTGTGTGTGTGTGTATGAAACATGGCACATGTGTGGAGGTCAAAGAACATTATAGCCAGATGTGGTGGTGCTCTCATTTAATCTCAGCATTCAGGAGGCAGAAACAGGCAGATCTATGTGAGTTCGTGGCCAGTCTAGTCTACAGAGTGAATTGTAAAACAGCAGAGCTACACAAAAACGCGTCTCAAAAAACGAAAACAGAACAACATTATGGAGTCAGTCCGGGTTTCTCTGTAGCTTTGGGGCCTGTCCTGGAACTAGCTCTTGTAGACCACGCTGGCCTTGAACTCACGGAGATCCGCCTGCCTTTGCCTCCCCAGTGCTGGGATTAAAGGCGTGCACCACCACTGCCTGGCTTCTCCCTGTTTTTATGTGCTTTCTGGGCGTTGAAATTAGGTTGTCAGGCTTGTATAGCAAGTGCTTTAACTTCTGAGCCATCTTGCTAGCCCCAGATTTTTACTATTTTTTCTAAATACAATTTTTCTAAACCTAACATCACTTACTAAAAAGTTAATCTTTTTGCCAACTGATTTGTTTGTTTGTTTTTCAAGACATGGTTTCTCTGTGTAGCCCTGACTGTCCTGGAACTGGCTTTATAGTTAAGGCTGGCCTTAAACTCACAGAGATCCGCCTGCCTCTGCCTCCCACATGCTGGGATTAAGAGGTGTGTGCCACCACCGCCATCTAACCTACTGATTTTAGATTATGTCTTTATTCTGTATTAAATTTCAACATATATTTCAATGTATTTTTTGTTTTCTATTTTTCTCTGTTTATTTGTCTCTTTTTGTATGTGCCCTTTTGTATACACCAGTCTCTCTTTTTTTGATTGGGGAGAAAGTGCCACACTATTTTATATAGTTTATTAGATTTTAATATTTGAGAAGATTAACTCTTATCTCTTTGCTATCTTTTTCCCAAATGTACTTTATGATCAACTTTTTAGAATCTCAACTTGTATATTTTCTAAGTAGATGGTATTTAAATTATTTTGTTTGTTTTCTTTTTGGAACAGTCTTGATGTGTAGCCAAGGCTGAACTTGAACTCACAGCCTCGTTCATGAAGGGTCAGTTACTTGGGTTTGAATCCCAGCCCAACTACTTAGTAACTTGCTGTGTGGCATTGTATATTGCTTTATGCCGTCCTCATACGTGGGTGTGGGGATGTAGGGTGGAGGAGGGTGTGTGTGTCTGTGTATGACAGAGGTTGGTATCAGGTATTTTCTTCCATTGCTCTTGTTTTAGTTTACTCTGTTGCCGTTATACGATACTCGGACCAAAAGCAACTATGTCAGCTTCCAGGTTGTACTCCATCACTGAGGGAAGTTAGGGCAGGAGCTCAAGCAGGAACTTGAAGCAGAGACCTTGGAGGAGTGCAGCTTACTGGCTCACTTACAAGCTAAGCTAGGTTTCTTTTGCAGTACAGGACCACCTGCCCTGAGAATGGTGCCAATCAAGACAGTCCTCTCTAGACATGCCCACAGGCCAGTCTGATCTGGGCAGTCTCAACTGAGACCCCCTTCTCAGGTGGCTAGGCTATGCCAAATTGGTGGTTAAAGCTAATTACAACAAATCTCTACCTTAGTTTTTGAGACAATCTTTCATTGAACTTGGAGATGTTTGGTTTTGATTTTCAAGATAGGGTTTCTGCTGTGCAGCTCTGGCTGTTCTGACTGACCTCAAGAGATCCTCCTTCCTCTGCCTCCTGAGTGCTGGTCTTAAAGGCAGCATGTGCTCTCACGCCCAGCTTGGAGATCACCATTTTGGTTACACTGGCTGGCTAACAAGCCATGGGAATCTGCCTGTCGTCGCTTCCCCAGCTACTGAGTTCCAGATGTGTGCTGCCATGCTCAGCTTTTATGTGGGTGCTGGAGATATGAGCTCACCTTCTCATGCTTGTCCAGCAAGCACTTTGCCTACTGAATGATCTCTCCAGCCTTAGCTTAGGCTGGCCTGTACCTCACTCTATCCCAGGCTTGATCTTCCAACCCTTGCCTCTTAAGTACTGGGATTATAGATAGGAGCCACTCAGCTTCAGTTTTCCTCATTGTTTAAGATTTGGCAGTGCTGGGGATCAGCCGAGGGCAGCAAACATGTTAAGCAGATACACTCCATAGAGCTAATTCTATTCACTTTCCCTCTCTTTGGTAGTCTTACCATGTAGTCCATAGTGATCTCAAAACTGGGATCCTCCTGCCTCACCCAGTTCTCATTTTTTAAATGGAGCAATGATAACAATTATACACCTCCTTGAGCTTTTATATGTATTTTATGAATAGAATACGTACATTGCTTGAGACAGAAGCAGAGGCGCCTGACACATAATAAGCACCTCATTGTGTTTGTTGTTGGTGGTGACTTTATGATTGTTGTGTTAGCTTCGTCATCACTGTGACCTAGTATTCAAGAAAACTACTTCATGGAGGAAAGATACATTTTGGCTCACAGTTTTGGAAGGTTTGGTCATGGTTGCTTAGCCCCAGGCCCTTGCACAGAACATCAGGGTTGTAGGAGTATATGACAGGAGCTTCCTTACTTCATAGCATAGGAGAAAGAGATGCCCCCACTGACTGACCGACCCCAGTGCAGCAGCCAAGGTCTGCCTCCTAAAATTTTAAAATTTCCCAAAATTGTGCTTCCATCTAGGGACCAAGTGTGCAGCACATGAAATTAGGGGCTCTTTTTGCATTCAAATTGTAACAATGGTATAGGAAGAAAAGGTTAGAAGAACTGATAGGGTAGATTGATTTATAAAACTTAGTTATTCTTTTTTTTTTCTCTTTAGGTGTGAAATGTTTCTCTTATTCTACAAGTGTGATCAGCCTTGCATTTTTACCATACCTTTTTTCACAAAGTAATGTGACATTTGGAAGTCTGCCTCTGCAAATCTTATTTTACGGAATCATGGGAAGCTTCACAGTGATCACACCTATGCTGCTTCACTTCCTTACAAAAGGCTACGTCGTTCGGTTGTACCACGAAGCCACAAGTGACACTTACAAAGCCATTACTTACAATGCTGTGCTTTCGGAAACCAGCACAGTGTTCCATCAAAATGACGTGAAGATTCCAGAGAGTGCACATATATTTACCACCTTTTATGCAAAAACAAAGTCACTGTTAGTTAATCCCATGCTCTTCCCAAACCCTGACGACTATAACCATCTAATGGGTTATGACAAACCATTCACTTTTGATATGGAAGAAGTCAGTGAAAAGAAACTGCATGGGGATGAAAAATGACCTGTTCTTTGGTTTGGTTTACATGTCATGTAAATTTCAGTGTGTAATAAGATTGCCTACATTTTGTTATTGTTAGTAAATGATTGTTTTTTTAAAAAAAATACAGTTTAAAGCCCAAAGACAGTGCAGTTGGTATAGTGTTTGCCTTACATGAGGTCCTGGGTTTGACCCTCATCATATAAGTTACTTGTGTACACCAGTAACCCCAGCACTTGGGAAATGGAAGACCAGAAATTTGGGATCGTCCTTGGCGATTGTAGTAGGTTTGAGTCAGCCTGGACTGTGTAAGACACTGTCTTAAAACAGAATGTTGATCTGGGTGGCGCATGCCTTAAATCCCAACACTCCAGCGGCAGAGGCAGGTGGATGTCTCTGAGTTTGAGGCTGGCCTGGACTAAAAATCGAGTTCCAGGACAGCCAGAGCTGTTAACACAGAGAAACCCTATCTTAAAAAAACCAAACCAAAACAACAACAAAAACCCACCAAAGACCTCAAAAGTTGAACTATCAAGCAAAATTTCTAATTAATTTTCAGATAATGCTGTTCCCATGTAATAAAATACATTTAAGAACAAGTTGTTTCTGTTAAAAAATGTGAATAATCAGCCAGGTGGTGATAGGACACACCTTTAATCCCAGCATTTAGGAGGAAGAGGCAGGCGGATCCTTGAGTTTAAGACCAGCCTGGTCTACAGAATGAGTTCCAATATAGCTAGGGCTGTTACACAGAAAAACCTTATCTTGAATAACAGAACAAATATGTGGATAATTATGTGTATTTTACTATGCATATGGCTACATGACAGAGTCTCACTATGTAAGATTGAATACCTGGAGCTGGCTATGCAGACTGGTCTGGAATTCATAGAGATGTATCTGTCTCTTGTCTCTTGCTGCTAAGATTAAAGGTGTGTCATACCACACCAGGGCCGTGTATGAATAATATAAGAGTGGATGCCTATAAGCAGAAGATTGAATGTCACAAATAAGAATTGAGTTTTTCTAAGTGTATAAACATACTTTTCCTACTTAAAAACACTTTGTAAAATTCATAAATTATAAAAAAATTTATTGTGTTTTTTGGTTTAGAATGCGGGTTGCTGCCTAAATCCTCTGGTGTGGTGGCCCAAAATAAGAATGCATATACAGCCAGGTTTGGTTAGTTGTTCTGTGCCCCCGTTTGTCCCTCAACACCGCCCCCCCCCGGGATAGCGGGCAAGCCATTGGCACTAAATACGTACACACTACCTCCTATAAAATAGCCAACTATGTTAGCTTCATGGAGAATTTGCATTTTCAGATCTTTATACACCTGCAATCTTAGCATTTAAGAAGTAAACATCAGAGGCTTGGGAATTTAAGGCTGTTCTGGTACCTGGGTTCTGGTACTTTGCTGGATACCAGAGTCAACATTAAGAACAGAACACAGGTTGTTATGGAGATGCCTACAATCTGTGGCAAGTCATGATAAGTTTAATTTAAGTGGGCTTGAGCATTATAGAGGCCATTCAGGAGAAAGCATTCAAGTCTAGGGTTGTTAAAAGCTATTTCAGGGAATAGCTTGAGGCAGGAAACCATTTTCCTAGGCTCTAGAATTTAGGTCCTGATGAGCCAGGTTAGCAGGTGAAACTTGGGCATTCAGCTGTGCTGTCTGACTTCAGTTTGGGCTTCTGCTTTGTGCTTCTTTGTTACACAGACAAATGTTTATCATCACTCCAGTGCTGAATGAGATACTTTTCTAGAAGTTTTTCTTTTTTTTTTAAACATTTATTTATTTATTTATTATGTATACAATATTCTGTCTGTGTGTATGCCTGCAGGCCAGAAGAGGGCACCAGACCCCATTACAGATGGTTGTGAGCCACCATGTGGTTGCGGGGAACTGAATTTAGGACCTTAGGAAGAACAGGCAATGCTCTTAACCTCTGAGCCATCTCTCCAGCCCCTAGAAGTTTTTCTGTCATCAGCCTGTAGTTTACTGAGATGTTAAGTCCTGGCAGGAGTGAATGGACCCTAGAGAGATCCTTCCCTTCTGATGGCTCTTAGACCACTGACACAGTGGACTCCAAAGAAGTGAACCCTATCCAGGAATCTCATGCTGGGGTCCTGGTGTGAGCCAGAGGTCAGCTGGTCTCCCAGGAACAGATTTCACACAGTGCAGACGGCTTGCCCTCCTGGAACCAGGAGCCTCAGAGATGGGTCGGTCAGCTGTGGTCAGGACTGCTTATTTACACATGCTGTTTTCATTTAAACTTTAAACTTAAATTTCATGTCATGACCCCAAAGATAAACATGGGGGTCACTGGACCTCTTGTTCCTCCACAATGTGACGACCCTGAAGGCAGGGACATCAACAGCAGCCTGAGGAGAGACCTACTCAGTTAAAGGCAGATTGTTGATTTCACTGTAGAAATGAATTTTAAAATGAGCCAGTTAGAAGTAGGTTCAGGGTTTATTAAAAGACATCATTAACAGATTAAGCACAATGGTTAGAATAGATGCTTAGGGAGATGAGGCATGACAGTGAGTATGGACTTTTCAAACAGTCACACACTTCAGTGTTGTAATAGTCTCTCTTTTTCTCTCAACCACACACAAAATGAAGTTGTTCCCTAAGATTTGCATGACAGTTTTACAATAATTTTAAGTAAGAACAACTTGATCACAGGAATGCCAGAAGATAGAATATTTTTACTCTAAGTAAGTAAAGGTTAATAGTTTTGCGATTCCCAGAAAATATCCGGGAGAAGGATACCTAAAGTTTGGTATGTCATTTTAGCATTTTAAAATACTTCTCTCTAGAAGAAATACTGTCTCAGCTGGGCAGTGGTGGCGCACACCTTTAATCCCAGCACTTGAGAGTCAAAAACAGGCGGATCTCCTGTGAGTCCAAGGCTGGCCTGGTCTGCAGAGTGAGTTCCAGGACAGGCTCCAAGACTCCAAAGCTACGCAGAGAAACCCTATCTTCAAAAAACAAACAAAAACAAAATCAAAAAAAGAAGGAAAGAAAATTAACAGTTTTTTTTTCTTAATTTAAATTTTATTTTATGTGTATGAGAGTTTTGCTTGCAGGAGCCAGGAAGAAGAGTCAGATCACCTTGACCTGGAGTTTCAGAACATTGTGAGCTGTGATTTGGGTTGTCAGAACCAAACCCTGGGTCCCTGCAAGAGCAGTGAGTGCTCGTAAACTCCGAGTCACTTAACCTCTTAACCACTTCCTCAGTCCCGACACAAGTATTCTCAGGACCCTGTCTGTGTAGCCTGGTTTAGTGGTTTAGCCCTAACCTGCTGCTGCTGCTGCTGCCTCGGACACAGCAGGAGACAAAGTTTTTGTTGTTTGAGACAGGCAGGGTTGCTCACTATAGTCCAGGCTGGCCTCAGATTTGAGCCGATCCTTCTGCCTCAGCTTACTGCGAGGATCACAAGTAAACACCAGCATGCCCCCTTTATCTTTCCTTCCTTCCTTCCTTCCTTCCTTCCTTCCTTCCTTCCTTCCTTCCTTCCTTCCTTCCTTCCTTCCTTCCCTC